CTGGCTGTTTTGTTCTGCATAATGTCTTGCAGGTTTATTCATATGCTGCCTGAACACAGGGTTTCCCTCTTTTTCAAGGCTGAATAACGTTCCACAGGGTGGACAGACCACATATTACTTACTTGGTTGCCCAAGGGAGGATGCTTGGGCTGTGTCCATCAGCGGTGGCGAACCCGTGGCATGTGTGCCTCAGCAGGCTGTTTGTATTACTGGAAGCTCTGAAAGGTTCGCCATCGCTGCCAGGCAGGCGCTGTGCCACTGAGCTAAATCCCCAACCCTTGGCATAGTTTTTTAAGACAGGGTCTCTCTATGGGCTCAAGGCAGTCCTCCTGCCTCAGCCTCCTGTGGTGATGTGAGTAGGGGTGTGCCCCACCATGCCTGGCTTTTTTTTTTTTTTTTTTTTTTTTTTAATATGTCCATCCCTGTGGTGTCAATTTGCATTTCTCTGGTGTGGGTGACAGGGCCTCTTTTCATTTGCCTTGGGCATTTGTATGTCATCCTGGAAGAAATGTCTATCCAAATCTTCCCATTTTAAATTTTTATTTATTTGTCATTCTGAGCTTGAACTCAGGGCCTCATGTATGCTGGGCAAGGATTTCACTGTTTTTTTCTGGTACCTGGAATTGAACTCAGGACCTCATGCTTGCCAGGCAGGCACTGTGCTGCTGAACTATATCCCTGGCCCAACTCATTTAAAAAACTTAGCTATTTCTTTTGTTGAGTTACAGAAGTTCTTTTTCTCACATTTATTTGCCCCTCCTTTTTTTTTCTGGTACCGGAAATCGAACTCACGACCTTGCACTTGCCAGGCAGGTGCTGTGCCGCTGAGCTAAATCCCCAGCCCCTGCCCCTCCCATTTTAAAATTAGTGACTGTACAGGTTAATGGGTCTCATTTTGGCAGATTTGTTTGTATACAAAACTACCTTAATCATCCCTTTGCCGCCACCACCCTGGCCCCATCCTCTCCCAGTTTCACATGTTTTGGGGTTTGATGTGTACAGTGTTCATGCGATCACATTCACACCCCCTTGCTGCTGTCCTTTACCCCTTCTAGGAGTTCTCTGTGTGTACTGGATATTAACCCTCCCTGGAGGGGCGATGGGCACACCCTTCCTCCCATCCTGTGGGCTCTTCCCACCTCTGGTGAGTGCGAGTCTTGGTCCATGCTGGCTCCACCTTCTTATGGAGAGGGACCAAAGAGTCCACAGATGAAAGGTTTTTCAAAACAAAACTCTTGCCCCGCCCAGGAGCAGCAGCCTCTGTCACCACCAGACCCTGCTGCTTCTGGGCTTTAAGTTTGCATAGAAATTGTGCAGTTTGTTTTGTGCCCAGTTTTTTTGCGTGTGTGCAAAATGAACTGGAAAGTGAAACTTGGCTCTGCCTCCGGCTTGGGGCCTCAGTATCCCCACAAGGAGCTTGGAGAGGAAAAGCAGAGGCTTCTCCAGACCCCATTTCTGGCGCTCATGGGTGAACTGGGAGCCCAGGCTGGGACAGGTGATCTCCCTGCACAATCCTTGGGCCTGTTGTGTGCACCTGAAAGATTATTTAGTTTGTTTTTTGTTTTTGCAAACTGGGGATTGAACCCAGGGCCTTTTTTTTTGTTTGTTTGTTTGTTTGTGGTACCAGGGATCGAACTCACGAACTTGCGCTTGCCAGGCAGGCGCTCATGCCACTGAGCTATATTCCCAGCCTGAACCCAGGGCCTTTGCACTGAGCTGTATCCTAAGCCCCTTGTGGTTCTCCCCAAGTCTCCAAGTTTGCTGGAGTGGGCTTGAGCATGGGATCCTCCTGCCTCAGCCTCCCAGTGTGCTGGGATTACAGGTGTATGCCAGCATAGTCAGCCCTCAAAAAGTTACTTTAAAGGTGATTGATATTTTTTGGTGCTGTGGGTGGAGTCACAGCACCCTGTCCCCATGCTAACCATGGGCTCCACGCCGTGCCACCCTGGAGAAAGGCTCTGGCTCAGGGACAGGCTGGCACTCTGAGTGTGTCCAGGCGGCTGCCCCTTGGGAATAGGGGAGTTCTGTTTGGTTTCACTTTAGTGAGAACTCAGTTTCCATTGCCAACTCCATGCTAGGTGAACCTTGCCTTTCAGTCCTTGATTTCTCAGAGATGCCATAGGAGGTGAAAGGAGGCACCAGGAGGGGCCACACTGCTGCCCACTAGGGTACCAGGGATGGTGATGGTACCCAAGGGGGTGAGGGGAGACCTAAAATTTCTCTCTGACTTCCGCTTCCCCTTCTGTCTTGGATTTTTTTTTTTTTTTGAGACAGGGTTTCACTATGTAGTCCAAGTTGGCCTTGAACTCGCGGTGATCCTCCTGCCTCAGCCTCCCAAGTGCTGGGATTGCATGCATGCAGCACTACGTTGGGTTTTGCTCTCTTTTTTCTTTTTCTTTTTTTTTTTTTTTTTTTTTTTGAGTCTGTCTTGGTTCAGAGTCTCTGAGGCCAGCAGGAACATTTCCCAGCTTCCCCAGAGTCAGGAGTGACCTCCAGGTTCTGTCCTGGGCAGTAGAGGCAGCTAAGTGACAAGGACACCCTGGCCACCCGCTGTGCGACCAGGGACACTAACGGGGCCACAGGTAACCCAGCGAGCCTTGTGCCTCCCTCTCTCCCTCGACCCCAAGCCTCTGTCCCTCACCTCCGGGGCGGGCAGCAGTGCCACTTCCAGGCGTGACAGGGACATCACTTCAGTCGGCTGCACAGGCACGTTCGCCCCAGCAGGAGCAGCGTTTGCGGCAGAGCCCTGGGAGGGCCCCCGGGAAGCAGGGAGGGAGGAGGGGCAGCAGGAGGTGTGGGAGGCCGCAGAGTAGGAGCAGGAAGTAACGTGATCCTGATCCCGTCAGCTTTGACAAAGGTCCAGCTGTGGCCTCCGGGAGAAGTGGATCCCTTCCCTGAAGTCTCCTCAGGTGTCATTACCGGCTCTTGGGGAGACAATAATAGCTGGGCCCCGTGGTGCCTGCCAGCTTTGCCCATCAAAGGAGCCTGTGCCGGTCCCAACACCCCTTGTCCAGCGAGCTGGGCCTGGGAACCTATCACTGTCTGCTGCCTTTGGCCGGACACGGTGGGGCAGGCCTGTAATACCAGCACTTGGGGAGGCTGAGGCAGGAGGATTGCAGTGAGTTCAAGGCCCGCCGGGGCTACATAGCAAGACCTTGTCTCAAGACCAAATCAAACCATCTTTGGAACATGTTCTGCCACGGACTCCAGCCACCCCTGAAGCACCCACGTAGCCAGGATCCCAGAACAGGGTCCCCTCAGGAAAGGCGTGGGCAGCAGCGGCTCTGCACCAGTGCAACCTGTGTCAGAATACAAGCCCACCCCCACCCCCACCCCCGCGGGGTGGCCGCACTGCCTCCCACTCTGAGCCCTCAGGGTCCCTGGCCCCCGGGAGCCCAGCAGAGGAGGTGGGTGCCGGTAACCCGGTGCCCAGGACGAGGAAAGACGGTGTCGCTGCGGCAGGAAGCACAGCCAGACTGTGACAGGCCGGGGCCTGGACACGCGGCCTCGGCCTAGGAAGTTGCGCGTGCGGGCCCAGCCGGCTCCGGACAGGAGGGGGAGCCTGGAGTGAGCGGCGGGAGCCGGGACTCAACAAAGCAGCACTCAGAAACCCAGCCTGGAAGCAGAAGTCCGAAGAAGCAGGCTGTCGGCGGGGAGAGGCGCAGGCTGTGGGCCTCCTGCGTACTTTGCCATACTCTCATGAAAGCTGCTGCCAGAGTCGGGCCACTGTCACATCCACAGTTTGGCCGCTTGAGCGCAGCAAGCTGACGTCCAGCGGGGCCTTTGCACGTGCCAGGCCTGCTGCTGGACTGTCCCCTCCGTCCTCCGGGGGTGGCTCCCCTTCTGTCGGCTCTGTCCTGAGATGTCACAGTCCCAGAGAAGGCCCCCGGCCTCAAATCACTTTCATTTTGTTTATTTTCCAGGATTTGGCATTACTTCTGGCCCTCTGTAAGTGCAGATTTCACAGCTGTGGTTCAAAAATATTTTTTTTAAGTTACCTTCTACTGAGCATGTGCAGGCATTTTTTCCGCCGTGATTCCCTAAGCGACATGTTAGAAGAGTGATTTGCTTAGCATTTACACGGTGTCAGGTACCCTAAGTCACCTAGCCATGATTTAAGGTGTTCGGGAGGATGTGTGGTGATTGGACGCAACATGACGTCACTTCCCTCGTGTCTGAAATTATTCTGCTGAGTTCAGACCTGTGGTAGCTCATGGGCTCAGCATGTGCTGGGCCCTGGTTTCAGTTCCTGGCACCAAACAAAAAAGAATTTTTTTAAAAAATTGTGTTCGCTGGCTAGAGGCTTCGCTCCGTGCCTGTCCTCATCCCCGGAATGCATCTCCTCCCGCCTTGGCCCAGAACTCCTGTCCCAGGCGCGGAGGCGCTCAACAAACCCTCCCCTGGGGAGCAGGTCAGTAAAGCTGCTGCCTGTGGCCAAGTTGTGGATTTGGATCTGTTTTCAGATGCTTTTGGCTGGAGCCTTGGGAGCACCAATGCCCGAGGTTGGACAAGGCAGACATTTATAAGTCCTGCGTCCCAGGAAGTCCCGGGTGGGGCAGCTCCAGGAGCCTCAGTTGCAGGCCCCAGGGACTTTCTGCCTCCCTCGGGGCACACGGGCACGGTGGCCCTCCCCCCTGGCATCTTGTCTAGGACTGTTGGGTACCCAGAGAAGACAGGAAGCCACTGCCTTGTGTCCTTTTTTATTAGCAGGAAGCTCTTCCAGAATTCCCCCTGCATGCACTCCCATATCTAATTGGTCAGAATTTGGTCACGTGTCCAGTCGTCAGCCAGTCATGGTGAGAGGAATGGTATTCCTCTATTGCTTTATTGCTTTAGAACAATCAAGAGTGCTTTTCTTTTCCTTTGCTTTCCTTGGCTCTTCTCTCTTCTCTCCCCTTCTTCTTCTTCTCCGTTTCCATCTCTCTTTGTCTCTCCGTCTCTGTCTGTCTGTCTATCTCTCTCTCCCAGCAGCACTCGGGAAGACAGAGGCAGGAGGATTGCTGTGAGTTCAAGTCCAACCTGAACTACATAGCGAGACCCTGTCTCAAAAACAAACAAATGATACTTACTTAAATTCAGTAAAATACGCTTTCATGCGAGCACCTGTCCGAGCGCATGCGGGGGCGTCTGTGGGCCTGAGCTCTGCCCGTGTGGAAGGTCATATTTAAGGTCAGCAGGAGCTCCTGCACCGGAATGCAACAGTAACCGCAGGGCTTTCTCCCGCCTGTGCCGGGTTAATAACGGGCTCCGGCTTTGGCTTTCGGGGCTGCGACGTCTGTGGTGAGCACTCAACTCTGCCACCGCAAGGAACACGCACAGGGCCGTGTGCCGGGGAAACCTGCTATGAAGCCCAGGCTGGCCTTGACTTTGACACCCTCCTGCTTCGGCCTCCCAGAGTGCTGGGGTGACACTCAGCCACCATCACGCCCGGATCCAATAAAACTTTATTTATACACCAGGCTGGGGGCCAGTTTGGCCCGCAGCGTGCCGTGTGCTGACTCTGGCTGTAGAACTCAGAGCGGCAGAGATGGTGTTTGTGCTGGGGGCCTGCCTGTCACTGACAGCAAGGGGGGCTCACTGCTGAATTCTTTGCTCATGACGCCATGGGGGCTGCCTCTGCCCCCACCTTGGTGCTCATGGTCCCTTGACAGGGAGCTCCCTGGCTCTGCAGGGACATCTGGGCTCAGGGGACACCTGGGGCTTGGGGGGACCCCAGGGCCCAGGCCCCATAGGCAGTGTGAATCTCCGGACCCCGTTTCCAGCAACACAGGAAGCCCGCGCGCCCCATGGCTCCTGCGGCCCTACCCCAACCTCCCTATGCCGCGGGGACCAGGGACTCTGAGCCTGACCATGTGGCTCCTCTGTCACCCTGGCCAGCTCTTCTCTCTGGCCTGGGGCAGTTTGGGGGTGCCCAGTCCTTAGCCCCCCACTGCCAAGTCTCCTACCTGTCCATTCTCATCCTTTCGGGAGACACTGCTGCCTCTGCTTCCCAGCCCTCGCCCCCTCCCCTAAACCTGTGGCCACCACAGGGACTCTTTATCCTGTTGTTGGGTTTTACATCTTTACCATTTAGAAGTTTACTGCTCAGGGGCAGGAAGCTCAGTCTTGTGTATCCATGACCACCTGACCATCCCAGAACTCCTCACCTTGCAAGGATGAACCCCAGTCCCCTTAGGCTACAACTACCCCCCAGCTCCTACCCACCTGCTCTGAGAATCTGACTCCAGGGACCTCATGTAAATGGAGTTGCACAGTACTTATCCTTCTATGACTTGATGTTTCACTGAGCACTGTGTCCTCCAGGTTTGTCTGTGTTGTAGCAGGTGTGGGAACTTCCTTCCTCTTCTGGGCTGTATAATATTCCCCTCCCCAGGGTCCCTGGGCTGCCTCTGTCTTGGACTCTTACTAATCAGGGACACAAATACCTGTCTCTAGCATTCTCTTGGTTCTTTGCAGTCTGTAGCCAGCAGCAGATTGCTGTGCGCTGTGCTCATTCCAGTTTAAGGTTTTGGGGAGCCAGCACCCGGTTGCCACAGCACACGCACCATCTTGTGTCCCGTCAGCAAAGCCCGAGCTCACATTTCTCCTGTCCTCCCGAGTTTCCACACTTCCGGGTGATCAGCGGTTGTCCTAGGGCACGGAAAGTCAAGCTGTGTGGTGGCTTTGTGTTGTGTCTCCCTGCAGACGAGGGAAGAGCCCCTCCAGCACTGGCCAGGCAGGCCGGCTCAGGGCTTGTGGCGTTGAGGAGGTGGCCGCTGTCTCGGCGCCCCTTTCCCAGCTGTGACGTGGGAGGCAGGGAACTGCACACCTTGCTCGGGGTGGTGTTGGGCGCAGGGGCTTTGAGTTTCTCTGGGACTGGCCAGCTTCCTCTCCTACCTCACATTCTCCCCTCAACACTCTGCCTGCCCTCTGCCTGCTGTCTTCCCTCTGCCTTATTTCCCCTTTCTTTCTTTCTTGTCTTGTCTTTTTGAGACAGGGTCTCACTATGAAGTTCACGCTACAAAGTTAGGGTCTTGCTCTGTATGTCATTCAGGCTGGTCTGGCACTCACTAGGCAGCCCAGGCTGGCCTTAAACTCACAGAGATCTTCCTGCCTCAGCCTCTGGAGTAGCTATGATGACAGGCGTGTACCACCACACCCAGCTTATTTCTACCACATTTCTTGGCAGAAGCAGGTCACAAGCAGTCAGTCCAGCTTCAAGGGGACAGCAGACTCAGTAGTGGGGACACAAAGGCGTGTGGCACCTTCCATCTACTGCACGAGGAAGAGGTGGGGATAAATGCCCACCCTCCTGGCCTCCCTCCTCAGCTCCTTCCCCATAGCCCAGAGGGGCCACTTGTCATTGTGACTTCTGTGATTATTTATGGCTGGTCCCGATGTCAAAACCATGAGCTCCAGGGGTGCCCGGATCACATCTGCTTTGCTACCACGGGCTCTCCATTGCCCTGTGCTGTTTCTGGCACAGGGCAGGTACCCCGGGAATCTTGTCCAGCGAGTGAGCCTTTCCTGACGTGGCCTGTGTCAGTCAGCTGTCCACTGCTGTGACACAGTGTCCCAGAAAGTCAACTTGAAGGAAGGAAGGAAGGTTTATCTTGACTCACAGTTTCAAGAGGGTACAGTCCATGGCCACCAGCTCCCAGACAGGAGCACGTGGCAGAAGGGCCTATGGGAGGAGAGCTGCTCACAGCATGGCGGCCAGCCAGGAGGAAGGGTGTGGTGGCACACAGTGTAATCCCAGCATTCTGGAGGCTAAGGCGGGAGGCCTGCAAGTTCGAGGCCAGCCCAGGCAGTTTAGTGAGACTTTCTCTCAAAATAAAAAGGGTTCAATCCCCAGTACTAAAAAGACAGAAAGTAAACCCAACAGCACAGAAAGTGTGTCTTGAACTCTCATAGGCTCATTTTTTTCACAGCTTGGTCCCTGCTTATGTAGTCTTTCTTCTTTTTGTGTTACTGAGGATTGAACCCAGGGGTGCTCTACCACTGAGTCACATCCCTGCCCTGCCCCTGTTATTTTTCATTTGGAAATGTCCCAGGCTAGCCTCAGACCTTCCATCCTCCTGCCTCAGCCTCCTAGTGCTGCTGCATACCCAGCCCAAAAGACTGACTTACCTGCTTCTGCGTTTCGTTATGCTCTTGCGGGGCTGGGGATGGAGCCCAGGGCCTTGGCCACGCTGGGCGAGCCTTCTGCTACTGAGCTACATCCCTAGCCTTGCTTTCGATTTTAAAATCTTTTCTTTGCACTCACAGGTCAGCCAGGGCAGAGGGGATCCGCTGTGTTGCTCACACTCTCTGCAGCCCCCGCACCATGAGCCCGGCATGCATTAGGTGCTCAGGAAACTCTGGCTCACAGGTGGATGACGGTGGGTGAGTGGGTGGGCGGTGTCACCCAGGAAGGCCAGGCTACGTCAGGGCCGCGCTCCTCCCCCACTGCTCCTTGCTGCTGACATTGTGACATGTCCGGTGCTGTAGGTGCAGCTCCCTAGCTGGCCAGGTCCTTGCCAGGGCCGGGACCTTTGTCCTGGCCGCGCCCGGCAGTGATAGTGCAGGTCCTGGGTCAGGCCAAAGATCGGCTTCCACTGTCAGCCCCGAGGGACAGGGACGCTCCTGCAGGTGGCCGTGGGCAGCGGCAAGTGACACAAGCAGGTGATGCCGAGGGACTCAGGCTGCCTGGGTTTTCGTGACGGGGCAGGGACATTCAGCCCACGGTGCAGGGCAGTGGTGGAGTGGGGCAGGGGCAGAGCCTGGTCCTCGAGGGGAAGCCAGGTGGGGCGAACCAGTAGCTCACGCTCAGCTGCACCCACAGGCCCTGCCCCAGGGTGCCTGGCTGCTCCTCCACAGCGCTTCTTCCTACAGCTCCTTCGGGCCTCTGATCCCTGTCACCTTCTCAGAGAGGCCACCTCTGCCTCGGCGGCCTTGACCTTGTCCTCATTCTCTCTGTGAAGAAGCAGCCGTAACAGCTGCCATAACAGCAACCTCAAACAGAAACTCGACAAAGGCCCATGTGCAACTGTCCCTCTCTGCAGGGTGGCAATGTGCCCCAGGCCCTTTGCACCTTCCAGGGAAGCACTCTGCCCTAGAATCCCAGCCTGCCCTGCATATGCAATTCCACTGTCAGTAGGCAAGTTTTGCAAAAGAAACAAACCTCACAGGACCAAACACTGTCATTCAGACTGTGATCAACATAAGAACACAGACCATCACACTCTTCCTTCCGTGTGGGTCCTGGGGATCTGGTGTGTAGGAGACATAGGACATGTCGCTTTCAGTCGCTCCTGTCAGGTGCAGGGGCAGCTGCGGCAGGGGCCAGGGCACCGTGCGGCCGGAACGCAGGACAGCAGCGAGGGCTCACTGCTCCCTCGCGGCCCTTGCTTGTGCGGGATGTAGGCCCCGGCCAGACCCGCTCCCGGCCCACCCGCACGTGGCCGGTGCTCGGCCAGTCCGCTTCCTGAAGACAGCAGGTGGTGCGCGTCCCCGTGCCAGCCCTCCTGGCAGCATCTGGGCAGCAGATGCGGCGCCGCGGTCACTTCCTCTTTGCGTGCGTTTCTCTCCCCCGCCTTCCCCTCCCCCTTCCCGCTCCCTTCCGCACGCATAGCACAGCAGTCACAGAGGAGTGAGACCCTGTCTTGAAATAAGTAAAAAGGGTCCCAGCCCCAGCACCCCGCCCTAAGAAGTCAGACAGTGAGCGCCGCAGAGAGAAACAGGCAGAGGGCGAGATGGGGCGGGGGTGCGGGTTAGAAAGGGCGGAGGGCGGCAAGTTGAGGGGAGCTCCGCAGAGGGGAACCCCAATGCAGAGGGAGCCGGCGTGCAAAGGCCCTGAGGCAGAGCCCGGAGCAGTCAAGGAACCCCTCTGTGCTGGGCCTGGAGCCTGGGAGAAGAGGGGGAGTTTTTAAAAATCACTCTTGACCCCGATTTTTTTTTTTCCCCCGGTATGGGGAATCAAACTCACGACCTTGGGCTTGCCAGGCAGGCCCTGGGCTGCTGAGCTAAATCCCCAGCCCTTTAAAAAAACCACTCTTAGTGAGATGTAATTTGCACCTAGTAAACTCACCCACTTATTCTCGTTTTCATTTTGCTTGTTTTTGTGTTCGGTTGTTCTTGTTTCTTTGAGGCAGGGTCTCCCTTCCTAGCCCAGGCTGGCCTCGAACTCGTGGTAACCCTCCTGAGTGCTGGGATCACGGGGCACGCCACCACAGCCAGCTTGACCATTCGGGGACTTTTCCTACACACAGAGTTTTCCGCCCATCGCCGGGATCGGTTTTACAACTCTTTCCCCACACCAGAGGGAAAAGTCTCTCCTCTTCATTCTCTCCGTCCTGGTGACCAGGAGCCGATCTCTGTCTCCGACACGTGCCTGTCCCAGACTCCTCAGCGAATCGGAACCCCCGGCAGGGGGCCGCTGCGTCCAGCCCGTGTCCCCAGGTCCGTCCATGTCGAGGTGTCCAGGCCCATGTCCACTGTCTCCGCCCGAGGGACGGCCTGCGGGGCGCCGCACGGGGTGTGGGGTGGGCTCCGCTTCATATCCACTCTGAGCTGAGAGCCGTGTGGGTTTTGTACAGTCAGTCTGGGCTGTTGATGAGGGTGCTGCTGTGAATATTTGTACAGTCTTTTCTTTGGCTCTGGGGATACTAAGCTACAAGGGGCCTGGGATTTGGCTCAGCGGCAAAGCGCCTGCCTGGCAAGTGCAAGGTCGTGAGTTCTGTTCCCGGTACCGGAGAAAAACCAAAAAAAAAAAAAAGTGAAACCTATACTAAGCTACATCCCCTGCCCCTTTTCATTGTTTAAATTTTCATTTAAGTTCTTGCTAAGTTGTCCAAGCTCGGCTTGAATTTGCCATTTTCCTGCCTCAGCTTTCCGGACTGCTGAGATTACAGGTGTGCACCACCATGCGCCTCGCAATTACTATCCCTGTTTTTGTGGTCTGGGGGATGGAATCGAGGGCCTTGGGCGTGCTGTGCAAGTGCTCCAAAGCTGGCCTACATCCCAGCTTTTTAAACAACTTTATTTTGAGACAAAGTCTTGCCAAGTCCCCCAGGCCGGCCTCAAACTTGCAATTCTCCTGCCTCAGCCTCTTGAGCAGCCACGCTCCCAGCTGGTTTTCACAGGACCCTCGACACCCGTTCTGGTCACTGTCCTTCCTCCTGCGGCCGCCTCTCTCAAGGCCTCTCTGGGGGACAGCACCCTTCAGCTCTCTTTCTCCACTGCCGTCCCGGCACCAAAAGCAAGGTCACAAGGCCGTTCCCGTGTGTCCAGCCTCCTTTCATCTCTGACCGTGGCGCTTGTCAGGCAGCCGCATGGCATTGGCACCAGGGCCCGGGGCCCGGCCTTGGGATCTCTTAGGTCAGCACCACGCACATCTGGACCTTGAAGACCAAGTGGCTCCGGGGCGGCTCCTGAAGGTCGGCTTCAGCGAGACGCTCAGGGTGGGCGGGGACCAAGGGAGGGTTGGCGTCAGGGCCCGGCTGGCGGGCTGGCAGCTAAGTGGCTCCTTTCCAAGAACTGCCGGCACTGCTAGGACCAAAACAATACCCAGCACAAGGCTGACAAAAGCTCAAGAGATTCAGTAAGCGTGTATTAACGCACTGCTACCTGATTCCTGAGCGAGTGAATGAGCCAGCTGACGGCTTCAAGCATTCACCAAGTACAGCGTTGTTCAGGGGCCGGAGAGAGCAGAGACCAAGTCTCCCTCCAGGAAGCACGCAGACAGAGCGGGCGACTTGCCAGCCAGCGAGCGGGCTGGAGCTCCCTTTACAGCAGGTCAAACACTGAAGGCTTCTCCGAGGAGTAGGGTTTGAACTGAGGCCTGGGAGAGAAGGAGCCAGCCACGCAGGGCCGAGCTGAGAGTATTTCAGAAGCGAGAACAGCAAGTGCCAAGGTCCTGGGGCAGAAAGCTGGAGCTGTCTCCAGAGCAGGGAGAAGGCGAGGGCGCTGGTGTGGACCGGCAGAGGGGCCCTGGACACCAGCAGTGCACACTTGCATTCCAGGCACTGTCCTGAGCCGGCCACTTGGCCCCAGTGGGGTCAGTCCTCCCACAGCCCTGGGAGACACCCTGAGAATCCCCACTAAGACTGGAGTCCCAGGGAGGCCCTGGACTCGGGCGTGGGAGTCTTTAGAGGTCAGATTCCCCTGAAGCTGCCCCTGCTGACGCCCTGGGCCCAGCTACCTGGAGGTCTGGGGTTGGCCAGGCCTCTGCACTGAACTGCGACGCTGAGCCCAGTCGGGGCAACTTAGCGACTCAGCGGCCCTGTCTTAAGAAAACCAAGAACCAACCTTGGGGGTGCAGCTCAGTGCAAAGGCCCAGGGTTAAAAACAACGCGCACCTCCGGGTGGTGCCAGGCGATAAGGCTGAGGCTGAGGAGGCTTCTCAGATAAGGTGCGCGAGGCTGAGCCAGTGGCCAGGCAGAGGCCGAAGCGGGAGTGTGCTCCCGCAGCCTGGTGAGGCCGGTGTGGAGGGCGTGGGCAACGAGTGGGGAGGGGAGGTCTGAGCGGTGCCCGCCGACCAGGCTCTGGGGGCCGAGGTGAGCCGGCTAACGCCTCCTGGTGTGAGGAGGAGCAGCGGTGCAGATGGCCAGGGAGCGCGGCTGAGGGCAGAGGACCCTGACGCGGGGCAGAAGCCACCCACGGCGCGGCACACCGGCTCCCGCCCAAACCTGAGCTGGGCACGGGGAGCGTGGGCGGGGCCTGTCCCGGCCCGCCCCTGACAACACCCCGCCACCAATCACCACGCCGCGTCCCTCCTCGCCCCGCCC